TACAGCCTAACCATCACTTATCACTGACTGAAATCTGGGGTCAAATCAGAAAGAACGTTGAGTAATCAGCAATATATACATTTCATAAACGACTGGACATGTACATAGGTGCAGAGAATATGAATAACTTTCAGAGAAGAAATACTAAGCTTTCTTTTCAGAGATTAATCTAACTGTAGGGCAAGGTAACATGTACCATATCCTATATAGCAGGCAAATTGTCTGCCATTTTCAACTGTGATTTATTCCAAAATATCTTGCAGAATTTCCTGTTTGACACAGAGTACTTACGTGAAAAATTTGCCTGAAGTCTGTACTGCATTTTGAAGAGCACTTCATGAAAATGCTTTCTGCTGCTGTGGAGGAGGAAGGGAGGAACAAGAATATTATTTCAGCCTTAAGAGGTTTCACATATCCCAGAAGAGTGTAAAGTGATTCTAATTTAATTGCTGTTGCTCAGATAGGTAGCACAAGACATCCAGTATTCGAGGCTTATCTCTGACCTTTTGATTGACCGGAGTGATTAGGTTGGAAGGCCTGTAGATTTTAAAATGGAGAAGAGATATGGAATGTGGATCACAGAGAAAGAGATAGGAAAATACAGCACTGCATAACCTGATTTGTCTCTCACCAGCACTGGGTAGCTAAATCTTTAAGAAAAGTTAATTTGAGAAGATTGTTTGGGGTTTTTTATTTCCATTTTCTCCTTTTGCAGTTCAACACATTGACTGTATTATTGTCAATCTAGTTATTTCATGCAAATTACTTAACCCCAGAAGAATCCTGTAGTCATTTGATGAGGTTATTTAACGAACCGGCAGTGCAGGTTGAACCAACAACACTCACCTTAAGCATGATGAGAATTACGATGAATTCAGGCTTAGGTTTACAATTTGAAAAGGACACTCATAGAGCAACAAAATAGTGATTAGTAGTTACAATTCTGAAAATAATTGTAAACCACCCAATGAATAGAGAAATAAAATCAGCTGCTACAGCCAATTGCTACTAAGCTTTTGCTGACTAAATCATTGGAGATCATTTTGGACCCTGATGATTTAATTCAGAAAGATGTGGACCAGTTAGGAACATTAGGAAGTCTGAAATACACTGTATAAAACAAGGCCTAAAATGTACTGACAGAAATGTTACATAAACATTTTCTTCTAGTCTGTAGATTTCTGTTCCTCAGCTTCTTTCATAAACCTGTTTTGGTTTGATTTGCCTGTTGTTTTTACTGTGTGTACTGTTGCAGTGGTTTGAGGGGATAAAAGAAGGGGGTTTTGTTATTTGACAGCAGTCAGTCATCCTCTTGCACCTTTCTTGTTCTGCTGCTGCTCTGATTGTGTTGTACATTTTTGACCACTCTATTGTGTTGTTTGTATAGTTTCTTAGTCTCCTTCGGCTGGATGTCATTCTGTATTTGCTCACTGTATTTTGTTTTATCAGAAAGAGAGGTTTTGACAGGGTCACCATGTACAACATATCAGAAAGTTGCATTTCTTTCAGTCTGGGGTGATAATGTCTCACTGATTTTGCCTTTTCTTATGGTAGAAATGGTTCTCATGATGTTTCTTGATAATCTCCAATTTAATAACACCTGACCTATATTAATGTTCTGATTCAGACCTATAAAAGAATGTCAAACATATGTAGAGTGTATCTGGGATATCTGGAGGATTGTTCTTTCTTCCTATGGGAGATGATTTTCAGCCTTAAAGTACACTCTTAAAACTTTGCCTTTTAGGGAGGCCAGTACATTGTGCCTGAGGAGCAACATAAGTTGACATTTGTGATCTTTGCTTTGTAAAGTTAGGTGATCTTCTGGATACTCTGAATGACCACTGAGATATCTGAAGATACAGAGGAAGACCTTTGGAGAAGTAGTAGGAGTGTAGAAAATACTTTTGCAACAATTAAATCAGCCATTTAGCAGATACCAATACCAGACATCATAGGAGGAAAAAATTCTACTTGAAATAAAAACACAAGCAAAACAGATCTCACTCACTCACTCACACTCGTTCTCACATTCTCAGGAAGGAGTTCTTCCCGGAGAGGGTGGTGAGGCACTGGCACAGGTTGCCCAGAGAAGCTGTGGATGCCCCATCCCTGGGAGTGTTCAAGGCCAGGCTGGATGAGGCTTTGAGCAACCCGATCTAGTGGAAGGTGTCCCTGCCCATGGCAGGGGGGTTGGAACTGGATGGTCCTTAAGGTCCCTTCCAACCCAAACTGTTCCATGATTCTGTGATTTGCAAGCACGAGAATGGGTGTGTGTCTAAGGAGTCTGTCCAGCACTCAAGCACCCACCATGCTTGCATCCCAATGCTGAGTCCAAGATCTGCTGCAATCACATGAAGAGCATTGGATGCTAGCTATCAAGTCTTCCGCACATTTCCTGGTTTCTTCATAGGCTGGCAATTTTCAGTTGTATATACTTTTTCTTACCCTTATGGGAACTGTCAACACTCTT